GCCTAATGGATAAGGCACTGGCCTCCTAAGCCAGGGATTGTGGGTTCAAGTCCCATCTGGGGTGGTTGTTTCTTTATCTAAAGCTTGCTTGCTTCAACATTGCTGGAGAGCAATGAAGCGGAAGTATTGGAGTTATACTTGTTGTAGACTAACTGGAACTGTTTAACCCAACAGGTGTATTTAGTTGGAGTTGGATTTGTTCTTGGAAACTTTGTGGGTGGACTCCATCATTTTCTGCTTCACATCATTTTTTGGTCAATCATTTTATGGATGTTTGTGTCCATTTCCAGTCGGTTTTTGGACATGATCAGAGCCCCAGTGGCCTAATGGATAAGGCACTGGCCTCCTAAGCCAGGGATTGTGGGTTCGAATCCCATCTGGGGTGACTGGTTGGGTCAAAATGACTGGGAATCCACTCTTTATGGACAGAAACGGGAAGGGTGGAAGTAAGACTTGTTGGGAATTGTGTCGCTCTAATTAATTAATAGGAGTCGTTAACATGAGAGGAGGGATTTGTTTGACTTGGAACTGTTCTTGGAAACTATACACCTAAGGGGAATTCAGTTTCTGATCATTTTCTGGTCTTTTATTGGAGTTTATGTCCACTTCCGGTCATTTTTCGACAGACACGTTTTTGTCGTCTTTTGTCATTTTGTTAAAGTTTCTCAGATTTTCTCATCTTTTGCTCAACATTCTAATCAGTTTATGGCCATTCTTCAGGTTTTGTGTCTGTTTTTGATCAATGATTTGTCTTTTTTTCTGGTCTTTCTTTGAACAGTTTCGTTAATTTTATGGCTAATTATTGGATGTTTGTGTCCATTTCCAGTCAGTTTTTGGACATAATCAGAGCCCCAGTGGCCTAATGGATAAGGCACTGGCCTCCTAAGCCAGGGATTGTGGGTTCGAATCCCATCTGGGGTGGTTGTTTATTGTCTAAAACTCGCTTGCTTCAACATTACTGGAGAGCAATGAAGCGGAAGAATGGGGATAGACTTATTGTAGACTAACTGGAACCGTCAAACCTAATGGTGTAATTTAGTTGGAGTTGGATCTGTTCTTGCAAACTTTGTGGGTGGACTCCATCATTTTCTGCTTTACATCAGTTTTTGGTCTTTCGTTGAACAGTTTAATTAACTTTATAGCCAACTATTGGATGTTTGTGTCCATGTCCAGTCGGTTTTTGTACAGAATCCAGAGCCCCAGTGGCCTAATGGATAAGGCACTGGCCTCCTAAGCCAGGGATTGTGGGTTCAAGTCCCATCTGGGGTGGTTGGTTTATTATCTAAAGCTCACCTGGCTCAACATTGCTGGAGAGCAATGAAGCGGAAGAATGGGAGTCAGACTTGTTGTAGACTAACCGGAACCGTCAAACCTAACAGGTTCATTTAATTGGAATTGGATCTTTTCTGGAGAAACTTTGTTTCTGACAGTTCTTGGGAAACTGTGAGGCTTTCTAGAAGAACTCCATCTTTTTCCGTCTCGTTTCGTTGAACAGTTTCATCAATTTTATAGCTCATTTTTGGAGTTTTGTGTCCACTTTCGGTCAGTTTTAGCCTTCCAACCCGACCACACAGCCCCAGTGGCCTAATGGATAAGGCACTGGCCTCCTAAGCCAGGGATTGTGGGTTCGAATCCCATCTGGGGTGGAAGGTTAGGTCAAAATGACTGACTCTTTATGGACAGAAATGGGAAGGGTGGAAGTAATATTTGTTGGGAGATGTGTCCTTCGAATGAATTAATTGGAGTCTTTGACCTGAGAGGAGTGTTTTGTTTGACTTGGAACTGTTCTGTTCGAGTCCCATCTGGGGTGATCAGTTTATTGTCTAAAGCTCACTTTGCTGGAGAGCAATTATTAATGAAACAGAAGAATGGGAGTCAGACTTGTTGTAGACTAACTGAAACCATCAAACCTAACAGGTGTATTGAGTTGGACCTTTTCTTAGGAAACTGTGTTTCTGACAATTTTCTGGTCTTTCGTTGAACATTTTCGTTAACTTGATGGCTATTTATCTGACTTTTGTGTCCACTTCTGGTCAGTTTTTGGACAGAATCCATGACTGTGGCCTTCTCACCACATCCTAGAGCCCCAGTGGCCTAATGGATAAGGCACTGGCCTCCTAAGCCAGGGATTGTGGGTTCGAATCCCATCTGGGGTGAATTGTTTGCTATCTAATCCTTATGTTACTCAATATTGCTAAAAAGCAATTATTAAGGAAGAATGGGTATAGACTTGTTGTAGACTAACTGGAACCATTAAACCTAACAGGTGCATTTAGTTGGAGTTGGATCTGTTCTTGGAAACTTTGTGGGTGGACTCCATCATTTTCTGCTTTACATAATTTTTTGGTCAATCATTTTATGGCTAATTATTGGATGTTTGTGTCCATTTCCAGTCAGTTTTTGGACATAATCAGAGCCCCAGTGGCCTAATGGATAAGGCA